GTAACTAATCCATTTTGTTTAAAATTCACTTGAAGTTCGCACCTTTGAATACGAACTTCGTCACTGCCAAACACAATAGAAATAATTTTTTTTTTTAATATCCTTACGCAAATATTAGTTGAGCTGTTCATAAAAAAAATCATTTATCATATATTATAGTTTAACTACTTTAACAGAAAAAATCGATTTCCTACATTAGTATTAACTTAACTTGACGTGTTAAGGGTCCATATTAAAAAAAACATCAATCAGAACAAGATCACCTGAGACTACATTTGAGAACAAATTGCTACTCAAGTAGCTACTTTATTCCCGAATGTGTTTTAAGCGTCGATCCTTTGAGGCTAGTTTCAAGTGATATTTGATCAATGATCAATAAGATTTTGCTTTATTCTGTGGTGCAAATTAGCATTCCATTGCGTTTTTAATACAAAAAATGTTTTAACTTCAATACAGGCTGTGTGATTAAATAAATCATTTTTCACTAAAATAATATGTTTGTTATTTATAATAACAAATAATTTTATTAATAAAAAAAAGTGCGTGCGTACAGGACCGTCTTAAACTGGGCTGGGGCCTTTGGGCACACAAGAATTTGGGGCCCTTTTGGAAAGTAAAAAATAAAAAAAGTGCGTGCGTACAAAATATCTACACATGTCAGAAGTGAAACTTCTTTAGCAAACTAATTTCTAACTCTTGTTCATATTTATACAAATCTAAAACTTTAGATTTCCGAGACTTAGAGGGAGGGAAAAAGGTAGATATGTTAAGAATTTAATGAATTGAATTGTCATTAAAATATTAGTGTCGAAAATTAAAACAAATTATATATTTTTTTTAATTTATTTCTTCGATAGTAAAAACACGTGGCATTTTAATTTACAATTCGTCATTTGAGAGTTCAATAAATTATTTTGCATAAAATATAAAATACTAATATTTCATAAAATCTCTTTACGTAATTTTAATTTTAAAAATAGAATTTCTATAAGGTAATTCACTCTCTCTCAATCGCGAAAAGGGAGAGACCCTTTTCTTCGACGAAAACGGTACACATCTTCGTGACGTTCGGTAATTTTACCCTCATGCGCCTAAAGAAGTTTCACTTCAAAAAGTATTTTATAAATTGTTGCATTACGTTTTCATAAAATTTTAAGCGTTTAAACCAGTAATTTTCGGTAAAATACTTAGTACTAAGAACCTACGTATAATGAAATGGGAGTTCTGATGAAAGTCCAAAATCCATTGTCACAAGCTTTAGGCATTAAATCATGTTTAAGTCTTAGTTCCTAAACAACATTATATACTGCTCAAAACAATTAGCGGAACAAGATTTTTCTCCTTTCTATTGCTTAAACTAAAATTAGATTTAAATTAACTTGTACGCTATTTTTTACCTTGTTAATTTGTTAATTAATACAATTAATAAAAAAATTCAATTTGTATTTTTTTTTTATTAAAAAAAAATTAAAATGTGCATTGTAGACGAAAAACTAATTGGTGATAAAAAAGGTCCATCAAAGAAATATTCTTATATCGTTTGAATATTCGTCTTTAGTGACTTTCAGTAACGTGTGTGGCCTCCATGAGCCCTAATCACGGCTTGACAACGACGCGGCATGCTTCGTGTGATCCTCCGTATATCTTCTTGTGGAATTCGCTCCCATTCTTCAATCAACGCTTCAGTGAGCTGCTGCAGTGTTTGAGGTGCAATCGGACGCTTCCGGATGCGCCTGTCAAGCAAGTCCCAAATGTGTTCAATTTGATTTAGGTCAGGGCTCATGGAAGGCCACTCCATTACACGGATTTCCTGCTGTCGTAAGTAATCTGACGTGATGGCTGCAGTATGCGGCCTGGCATTATCTTGCATTAAAAGAAAATCTGGGCCCATACCATATGCTGCGGGCCAAACATGATCTTCGAGCACATTTTCAATGTAAGTTTGAGCACACAAGCGCCCGGGAACAACGACGAGATCTGTGCGCTCGTCCAAACTAACTCCGCCCCAAACCATCACAGAGCCACATCCAAATTTGTCATATTCCTGGACTGCTGCTGCACTGTATCGCTCGCCTGGGCGTCTGTAAACACGGAGACGACCATCGCAACGTGTTAGACGGAATCGTGATTCGTCAGTAAAAAGCATTGGTCTCCAATGTCGAAGTTGCCAATTAGCGTGATTTTGCGCGAACTGTCGGCGAGCTTGTCTATGTTGAATTGTTAGACGCACAGCCCGAACTGGTCGGCGTGATCTCAAATTGGCTTACAACAACCTATTTCTTACCGTCTGGTCGGAAATTTCTACACCAGTAGCCGTCCTTAGTGTATTTTGTAGATCTCTTGCAGTTGTGGTGCAGTTACGTAAAGCACAGTTGACGATGTAGCGATCTTGCAAACGTGTAGTTTTTCTCTTTCGACCTTGACCACGCCTTCGTAAGTATTCTCCCGTCTCACGGTATCGCTTCCAAAGTCTGTAGATAACAGAAGGGGCTACTCCTAGATCATTTCCTACATAACGCATAGTTCGACCCTCTTCAAACAAAGCGATAGCTCGGGAGACATGCAATTCAGTCAGATCTGGCATTATGACCTAAACTCACTCGCTTCAATGAATAACAATACTCAAAAGGCTCACTTCAATTTCTATTAATACTCAAAAGATTGAAAAAAACTACTTAAAATGTGTTTTCTGTGATTAGAAAGTAATGAAAATTCAAAGACGTCACTTTGTTTTTCGTCTACAATGCACATTTTAATTTTTTTTTTATAAAAAAATACAAATTGATTTTTTTTATTAATTGTAGTAATAAACAAATTAACAAGGTAAAAAATAGCGTACAAGTTAATTAAATCTAATTTTAGTTTAAGCAATAGAAAGGAGAAAAATCTTGTTCCGCTAACTGTTTTGAGCAGTATATTTTGTTTTCATTTTTTTTAACATTTTATATTTACATTTAAGAGACAAATTTATAAGTATTTCTATTAGAAAAAATATTTATCTAATTTTGTGTGCAGTTACGTTTTTTTTAAATAAGTACATGTTTTCGTGTATATGTCCTTGTCATGTTAAATTTATTTTTACTTTTTATGTGTTACAGTTAAAAAATTGTAAGCAAAGTTGATTCTATAATAGTTGATTAAAATAAAAACCGTAATTCAAATTGAACATTGATTTTCCTTCAGTAACCTAATGAAGTCCCTAAAAGAAATTTAAGCCTTATAAGTAGGTAAATATATTAAGCCTTAAGCCTCAAATTTCAAGTATAATTTTATTGTTTTACAGATTAATAAAATTTCACTAATTAATTAAAGATCACAATGTTACACAATTTTACAATGGCAGTTATTTGGTTAAGACTAATTTAGTTTTTATGAGTAAAGGCTTAGAGTACATAAGACTTGGACTACAATAAAAATTAAATATTGAGCGAAGTCATATAGAAAATGTGCTTATAATGGCAGCCTCAATAGCATTCCCATCATTTAAAGCACATCTGTGATATGAACACTGCCTTCCTCTTCCACGGGTAATTCTTCATTCATCAACATTGAAATATTGTGTAAAACAGCACATGCAAGGATAACGGTTGATATTTAGTACCATTCGGTATCCATTGATAGCAACCTTCTCTTCTCATTCCAAATGTCCGTTCTACAACATTCTCGTTCTCATTCTCTATATAGAATGAACAATATTGCATTGTTCTTCAGCAGCACTTGGAACGCTAATGGTGTCATCCCAGCCCATCTTGCAACTAAAGCACTAACAGCCATTGAAACACTAAATCAAATATATGCCAGTACTACAGTTACTACGTAAATCTTAAAATGTGCAATATTAATTTAAATTGTGAGTTATATGAAAGTTCCATGAATATTCATAGAACATCAAATGATTTTCTATTTCTATTAACTTCATATTAATTTTTTTTTCTGGGTTATTAACTATTTTAACACGTGTGCAGTCTACTACACCATTAACATTTCTAAGACATTTTTATGTCCTTATTAACAAAACTCTCTTCTATGTGTGAAAATATCGTAAGGGTATAATAATATCTCTATTATTTCTTACCCAATTTTAGAAATGTTACGATTACGCATGAAACTTGTGGTTGTGGGTACTTTAATAAACTATGAATCAATTTTTTATATATATATAAATATATTTTTCAGATCAATACTAGTTATAGTTCCATTTCTACAAATACTAATAATTAAAATTTATGTAATGTATTCTGATCCAAATAATTAAAAAAAAAATCCAGGTCCTGCATCCTCTTTTAAAATCATGTAGACTCATTGTATATGGATCTTCGGAGTACCTTAGAAACCTCGGTATGCTATAGTCCAACCCTTTATGATTCTCGTCATCAAAAAGATTCGTGTTCACCTTCGACTGGTTTACAAGTTGAAGCAAATAGTAGGTATAAATATCTCGGGTAACGTAAAATACCCCAAAAATTAAACTAACATATAAAAAATTATCAGCTGGAACCAGAAAACAACTGAAAAAACAATAATTTACACACAAGAATCTCCTCTCAAGCAACCTATTCACGAGATCCTTTGATTCGCTTCACCCTTTGGCATTGAGTTTCCATGGGCGGCAGTATCTCTTAACATCAGATGAGCCTCCTGCCACTATTAAAACGCATTAAAATGCGTCACTAATCTAAATTAGCTTTTGAACCACAAATTAACACTAGTCAAAAAAGCTTCTGACATGCTCGGATTAATTATAAGTAACAAAACACCAATTCTCTGAATAGTGAAAAGGAAAAAAGAACTAAAGTTAAAGTCAATATATTACTAGGTAGGTATTTTGGGGTATTAAATGGTAACATATTTATATAAATGTGACATAATAAAGATTGTAAACAATATCTGTGCTATTAATTTATTCATGAACATTACAATTAGACATTTGAGATTAATGAATCTTTAGTGACTAAATAATTAGTGATTATGCCTGTTCTTCTTCCTGCCCTGCCTCTTCTTCAAATTGGTGTTTGATTTGCTATGCCCTTTTGCCCTCTTCTTTTCCTTGTTGGTTCCGGATCAGGCGCATTTGCTTCGTTTGCCGCATTCGCTTCGTTCGCCTCATTTGCTGCGTTTGCCTCATTTGCTTCGTTTAACGCATTTGCTTCTGTCGGTTCCACATCAATTCCTTCCCCTTCTTTTGTTTTCGACTCTTCGTTACCACTGCTACGATGGGATCCTCGTGGTGCAGCGATAGACAACGCAATAAGCGAAAAAATTGTGATACCTGGAATTAAAAAAAAATTGTTTATGTTAGGACTTTTTCACGTTTCATCGGATTTTTCACTGATTCATTTATAAAAAAAAAAATCTCACATTCTGCCAATAATCAAATAGGGACGATATAAAGATCTTAATCAATTTAGATTTCATATTAAAAAGTTGCTATTTAAGTTTCATAATTTTATTTAATAATTGATTAGAAAATAAACTACCAAAATGCAGTATGTATACTCACACAGAAGAATCTTCATTCTGAAACTTGCCACAACAGTTGTCACAACTTGAATTGAAGTGTAATAGAAACAAATTAATGTCGCCTTATATTCGTTTTCTTCAAGGCCAATACAAAATAGTAATTAATATTAACATGTATATATAATTAAAATACTAATACATTTTAGGATGTAATTAATTTTTAATTCCAACACACAAATATACAGAATTTACAGAATAATCAAAAATTAATAAATAGATAATTTAAAATAATTGTACCGGCAACATTTCCTCGCTGTAGCCAGCTCTGGGGTCACCGGTACTACCTACCCCAGGCGCCAGCTGAAATCTTTAATTAGCGCCTGTGCACTTAAACCTCACGGCCCAAGAGTCTCTACTCCAAAGGTAGGTGCCGACTAAAATCTTAAAAAATATATTTATGAGATATCATTGTCATCTTCTGTTAATGTTACAGAACGTGTGAATTAATCGTTGCTTCAAAATGATTGAATATGTTCCCAAGTTTCGTGATCAAATCAAATCGAATTAAAAAGGTAACAGAGAAACTTCACAAAGGATGGCGATTGAGCTATTTGTCTTTTGTGAAATGTGTAAACTATCAAACATATTATAATATGTTGGAATACAGGAATTTGACTACCACTAGGTACATAGTATGCAAATACGAAGACTATTATTTGAAAAATTGTGAGGAAAATAGTGCAGTGCAATATATTACACATAATGCGTGTGTATTCGTAGGGACATGTTAATTTCAATTTCCATTATTTTCTTTGCAAATCTAAAAAACAGTAAGTCATAAGTTAATATTGTTAACGGTTTTACAGAAAAATATTTTATGAATTTTAATTAAACGAGTACAATAGATCTAAAGTTTTATTATTATAATTGTCCATGAAGGATTCTAAAAAAGAGTTAAAGAATAGACTGAATTTTTTTTTTTCTGAAATAAATTAAAACCTAAGGTCACAACTATAATTAATTATCAAATAATTTGGCATTTAAAACGAAGAAACTCATTTGGATATATAAAGGACAGTCTTGTTATTTCGTGATGTTGAAACAAAGATATGTTTAAAAGTATATAATATGTATATTACATAGACAATGAAATACGGAAATCTATGACTTTTTATCCGTATACCGTTAAACGTTCAACGCAGGCCCTAAGTTTTCAATTAGTGAATACTTATTTTATTTGGTTCAAAAATATCTGACTTTTATACACTGTTAAAAAATTAAAAAGGAACTAGCGGCCTGTTATTTATATTACTCCCACTGACACGTATTATTTTGATATATATGTAAGGAAAACATAATATTTAATATTTTCCTATACAAACTCTTTTATATTTTATTTTTCTTCTTTGCCGTCTGATCGACGATGTTTTATTTGTCACTTGACATAATAGATGTAAGATGTTTTAATTTTTTCTTTATATTATTTTATTTTATAAAACCTAGAATATAGGCTTTAAATGTTGTTTCTTTTGTATTCACAGAGAAACGCAGTTGCGCCTTATTTATCCCCAGTACTCGTATAAGCGATCGATACCATTATATATATATATGAATAGAAGAATTTTTGAAATTCGTCCCTTCGTTTCGGAGTTAATTTGATACAATCTTTCTTTCTAGAAATCTTTCCTCTTAAAATATTAATATACTAGCTTACCTGGCAAACGTCGTTTTGCTATGTATATCATTTATAATAAAAAATGGGCGTTGATCGCAGAGGGGTGAAAATTAGGGGTCGTATGTATTTTTTAATGCTGTATCATAAAAAAAATTAAAGAATAAAAATTATCTAAAAATTAAAAAAATTTATATATTTAGGGGTGGACTACCCTTAACATTTAGGAAGATGAAAAATAGATGTTGTCCGATTCTCAGACATACCCAATATGCACACAAAATTTCATGAGAATCGGTCAAGCTGTTTCGGAAGAGTTTAACCACAAACACCGCGACTTGAGAATTTTATATTTTAGATAGAGAACTACAATATACAACCAAAACCTTTAAACCGGTTCACATATTTTGAAGAAATTACATTCATTTTGAAATTGACAGGTCCTCGATTTTATGCATCTTCATTCAGCCGTTACGATACGAATAAAGATCGAGATGTTGAAGAATCAGTGACGTGTCCAATTAGCCGATTGTCTGGCGCGAAGCCAACTCACCCTAACGCCTTCTTCATTTTTACCAAACGATTTTATCTAAACCATATTGTTTTTCGATATTTATGGACTCGAGACGTCTACAATACCTCTTGAGAAGTCTCATGTAATATTAATGCAACTCACACAGATGCAAAATTTTATGTAATTAGTTAAACTTTACGTTAACAAAATATTACGATCATTATATCATTGTTCGTAAAGAGATATAGGGATATACAGTACACACAACTGATAATCAGGGAAATAATCATTCCGAAGGTCATTGTCGGGTAGGAGCGTGAAGGTAGCCGAGTGGCTAGTGTCAGACACAGAAGGACAAAAAAAAGCTACTGAATTATTATTATTAATGAATATAAAATTAGGTATAATATTCAGTTATTAGTTTTAGTTGAAAGCATGTTTGTCGAATGTAGGAGCGGAAATTAAAATATAAATTGCTTTAGAGAAAATTTAAATTTTTAATTAGTATCATATCTTACGTCATTAAAATGATATGAGTAATTTTTAATTTAAATAAATAATACACGAAGTTTATTACTTGGGGCGAAATACCTACTGGACTGATAACACGTAGAACGAATTAATTTTTTATTGTTTAATAAATTGACAATTTAAATTCAGTTACTCGCTATAAATTTTATTGACTTTAGTATATAACTAAGTCGGTTGGATAAATATCTATCTGACCAATATTATCAAATTTCAATGCATGCAAACTGTGTCGTAGTAGTGCAGTTCTTCAGATAGGGGTATCATTGCATGGAGGCGCCATATACAATGATAGATTTGTTTCTTTAAATTGTCCAGCTCTCCTTGCTGCAGTCAGGCGTTTTAATTTCCGCCAATATGTTATAGTCAATATCATTGAATGCGTTTATTTATATATATTCTTAAACTTTGCATTTGCATTAACCTCGACGACACAGTCCGGAGTATGCAAGCGGGACGCCATAACATATATATAAACTTGAAAAAAGAAATAGTTATGATAAGTTTATCAAAAAATATGTTTCAAGGATTCCGCCATACCTAGGTATGACTAATACTGAAAAACTAACACATGAGGTATAAAAGTAGTATTACTGTTATTACACTATGATTTATAATTTTCTCCACATCAACTCAGGTTCCATTGGTAACAAAGTGTTGAAAGACGAGTTTTTACCCGTTACCCTGTTTTTACCCGTTACCCTGTTTTTACCCGTTACCCTGTTTCGCCGTTAGATACTTTTGTTGTCTTAGCTGTCCGGGGAATCCTAAACCACATCCAACGCAACATTTCCAGAGCATCTATTATCCTCCTCAATAAGATGTTCGTATTGTCCAGGAGCATTCTATAATTACTAAGCTTGGTAATATCTTTTTCTATCTAAAGAGACTGATTAAATTCAAGTTCTTTTTGTTGTTGTCAATACTAGCCTAACAATTAAAGACTTATAAGGATTTTTTTTAATAAAGCATCTGTAGGTACATCAGAATCATTGCAAATGTGTTCATTTTCTTTAAACTTATGATGAGGTCTCTGTCGATTATTGCAGTCAAGGACTCGACGTTGTATTTAATACTGGCGATTTCCCTAAAAATATATTTAATATTGGCGTAAGCTTACAATTTAACTTTTACGTCTTAAGTTAAATATCATATATTTTAATTACATTGCAACTATACTGTTTAATTATATTGAATAGTCAAGATAAATGAATTACTAATTATGATAAATATTTCGTTATAAACTGTAAATTAACTAAAGCAAATATTATCTTATAAAAATAATAATTATTATTATTTTAACTCGGCACATTCATAGCAAAATTGTTTAACAATATTCTCAATACACACATAAATAACTATTTACATTCAAAAGACAGTCAGTTCGGTTATCGTCCGTGGCTGTCTACTGAATTTGCTAAAATGTGTTTAAAGAGTCCTGTCAAATCCTACACTTCGGGAAAAACTCCTGTTTACGCTTGCTTCCTTGCGAAGGCATTTGACACTGTATCTTACGACGCTCTATTGAAATAGATGATAGCATCTCATACCAGGTAAAGTTGTAAATATATTTAAGGATTGGTTGAAGTGGACAGATACTATGTCGATGCATACATTAGAATGTGGTGTGCATTAATCAAAGATTAATTTACAATTGTAAAAAAATTTCAGTGTATAGTATTTCAGAGTGGTTTTAGGGGGTGACGAATATTCCTCCGCTTTATCTCGATGGAATACTATTATTATTCCACCTTATCTACCCTAGATCGGGTGGAATACCTCGGGCATTTTGTTACCTCTACGATGATGCTGGTGTTGAGCGGGAACGAAGAGCACTGTGTTTTAGAGCTATGATGGTTAATCGGCGAGAGGTATTAATCACTCTTTTTAGAGCATATTATACATCATTATTTACCTGTAGGCTGGCAGCTATACAAAAAATCAAAGAATGCCCTTGGTGTGTTCAATAATGCGTTCAGGATGTTGATAGGGCGCCCTCACTATTGCAGTGCGTTATGTGCAGGTGTGGACTGTTTTTACGCCACCATGCGCAAGCCAGCTGTATCTCTGGTGAGGTGCTTGCCGTGGAGCCCTAACAGCGTGCTGGCGCTAATAGCGGAAAGGCTGGATTGCCCCCCTTGTTTTTTATAATTTAGTACCTAATAATATAATATTACAAAATTTTTACTAACGCAATAAAACAATATGGTCGTACGATATTTTGATTAAAATAAATAAATAAAATTAAAATTATACATGGATCAGCACCAACAGAACTCCCAAGGTCTCCCAGAACCAACATTGGGTTTCGCGAGCCTCTTCACAGAATGTGTTCTGCTTTA